GAGGATGGGGGTGGCGAGATGGGGCGGGAGCAGGGGAGGGAGGGCGTAGAGAGGAGCAGAGCGGGCAGAGGAATTTTTCAGAAGAGATGGAGAGGAGAGGATGGGGGTGGAGAGTGGAGGGAAGAAAATGGAATAGAAAGGGACAGGAAAGACAGGATAGTCGAACAAGAAGATAGAAGAGATGACGATGCGAGGGAGGCAATTCGTGTTCGAGAGATAGAGGGGATATAGAGAGCGCGAGCGGAGTCTAGGTGGGCGAAAGAAACGGGAACTGAGGATTTTGGCGGGAGAAGGAAGAGAGATCGCTAACTAGCGCGCGCAGCAGTCATTTCACCAAAATGCCAAAATCCTCAGTTCCCGTTCCTTTCGAACACCTAGACTCCGCTAAGAGATACTCAGTGGTACGCGCAGCAGTCCGCACTGAAGTCCTCTTCCCTACTGAATCCTCAGAGATGACGAACCACTATGTACGTGGGAACTTCAGTGGCCGGACTCGTTCACTAAAGTCCTCATCCTTACTTACCTCCTGTCTCTCTTCCCCCCCGCTTCCTCCCCCGCCCTCTCCCCGTTCCATTTTGGGTGAAAAATGACCTTGTGGTTATATATTGTATTGTCACACTGTGAATCGGAGCGCAAAGGCGAACAAAGACAAAACAAAAAAAAGGAAAGAAGTAAGGAAGGAAAGGTCCGCCTGTTCATCACCTCTTACGTACAGAGCCAGCCACGTCGATGACAGGTTGAGCGCTGACTGCCCCCTTCCCCGTGTGTCACAAGGACCCACTTGCACTGCCAGCCAAAAGGCAAAAAAGAGGTAAAGAAAATGAGGAGGAAACCAAACCTCAGGATCCAGTCAAAGAAAGAAAGGACAAGGAAAGAGGAAGAAGACCTATCTGTCAAACAAAGCAAGTGACACATCCCGCAGACAAACCAATTGCCACTGTCACAACAAAGTTCAACGTATTTTTTCTTTTTCTTCGGCAATTTGTTCTTTTTTTCGTTTCGTTTTTTCAAAAATTTTCCCTTCTTTCTTCAACTCCGTATCTGTTGGTATTGTCAAAAGCTTCATCTGTCCTACAGTTAGTGTTGCTCCTGACCTGCTTGATTCTATCGGCCATTCAGGAAGAGGAGCCCCCACCCCGGCAGATAGGACATGCACGCTGAGTATGACGTGGATGTTCACAAGGATACCCAAGGAGAGCTGCGCCAGCACAGCATTCCGCAGGACGGCTAGCACGGACCATCCCATCAAAACAGTCCTGACAAAAGACATGATGTCCACATGTCAAAAAAACAGCAGGACGCTCATTGCAGTGCGGCATCATGCAGTCCTGATAGCGTCCTTGCGCACAAAAGGGACAACGAATATCTGGGTGATAGGGATGTGTACAATGAGGAAATGTTGGACGCCGTTCGGCACAGACGGCGGCGGCCGCAATAGATTGTTAATGGTGATGGCATAGATGATGGATTCCGCGGCCAAGGTGCACCGCGTCCCTGTCCCGACAGGTGTCACACGAGAGCCGGTCAACAATCCAGAATAAGGTATGATTCGGCAATGCACGCAAAAATTCATTTATAGCCTGAATTCATTCGACAATAGCCTGAATCATCGTCCCACCATCCCACAGTTCCCACTGGGCAGCTGCACGAACGAAGGCCATATAATGCCGGGTCTGTGCAAAATGAAGGCAGAAATATGAGGATGGTCATTAAGGTCATGCGCCAAAATCACGAAGACACTGCAAGTGCCAGGACATCCCAACGAAAGTGGGCGGACATAGGGCCTCGCTGCACTACTCTTGAAATGCACAAAATACAAAAATCATGGCCGTGTATCTTTCCATATTCTAGCGGACGATTCACTCTCGTTTTGCACATTTCGAGAGTAGTGCAGCGAGGCCCATACTCCAGTAGTAATGCAACCAATTACGTCTTTCAGAATTTTGAATCGATTTTAAAACTGAGAACATTTTGATAAATAATAAAGGGAATGACATTTTTTGTTTCTGTTGTGGAAAATCATATACGGAACACCGTGGGAAGAGAAAACTAGGGGACCTGCAACAGCAAGAGTGCAGCCTCCATCCATTTACTGAATTACAAGACGATAAAACTTTGTGTGATTACTACCATGTCTGTGTTAGTTAGGACAAAACAGTCCATGGGCACTTGAGATTGGCTATGTAAACGGTACGCTGTTTCTCGGAGACCGTTGTGTGTACACCGCCCCGCCAAGCTCATAAGAGCATGGTGAAGACCACGAGTGTAGAATTCGCCCAGGGAAGCTGCAAGGTAATAGTACTTCAAAATATGGTTTAGGTGTCCGAGGTTCTTTTTTGGTTTGTGTGGCTTTTAAGGCCTTGTGGTCACTTTTGTTTCCCAGGACTGGAGGTTTTTCGGTGCAGTGGTCTGAGATGTGGCCAATCTCTGCCTGAAATCCTTTTCTCCAGTGCCTGCACCTAAAGCGGGGTAATGGTCCGAGCATTGTTTTTCTGGGTTGTTTGTGGAGGAATTCCCGGCCTCCTTTCTGGTTATTATGAATTGCAAAGTTGGTGTAAAAAAATAAAAAAAAATAAAAAATGACGGCTTGCATCAATGTGGTCTATCGACGTAATAATCATTTCAGGCGTATCAAGTATGCAACCTCCGTGAGTGCGACTTGCAGATCTACTATTCTGTATTCGTTCTAAACGGAACGCAGCGAGAGAGAGAGAGAGAGAGAGAGAGAGAGAGAGAGAGAGAGAGAGAGAGAGAGAGAGAGAGAGAGAGAGAGAGAGAGAGAGAGAGAGNGAGAGAGAGAGAGAGAGAGAGAGAGAGAGAGAGAGAGAGAGAGAGAGAGAGAGAGAGAGAGAGAACTTGTCTACCTCATTGCCTCGCTTTTGCCGGACTTTCAGTTTGTTTTCAGTTACATCAAGCACTTTCCTTTCCAGTATGATAGAGAAAAAATATGATGCGGGAGAGAAATGAAGGAGGAGCATGTGTAGGAGGATGAGGCGGGACACGGAGAAAAGGGGTGCAGAGGTGGGGAGCCGAGCTAAGTGCAGTGCTTTGTGGTCTAGGTGTAGTGCTACGGACGATCGGTGCAGTACCATGCGCCGTGGGTGCAGCAATATGTGGGCTAGCTGCAGTATGTTGTCGGTTTGAACACGCTGTTGCCTATATCACAGGAGTGTGTGCTGTTTCTCTTCGAATATACGGACGGAGGACGAGGAGGGGGAGGAGGAGGAGGAGGAGAATTAAGGAGAGGAGGAGGGAGGGAAAACGATCATAGTGGTAAGGAGACGGAAAGGAGCAGGACTTCCCCCCCCTTTTATTACGCAGTTGTTGTTGCGGATATGCGGAGGTGGTCGCTGGAGGAGCAGGAGGATGTGAATCGAGAAGCGGTGGAGGAAGAAGAGGGAGTTTTTGTTTGTGTCTTCTCCTCTTCTTTTTTTTGACCCAGTGGAAAATGTATAGTTTTGTTGTCTTTTGTGGTGCTTTTCCGTTTGTTATCCCAGTTGCCAGCATGCATGCTTTTTGGCACCTGCGGGATGAGAGCACGATATGCAGGATTGTGGGGGGACATGAGAGGAAAGGCATAGAGTTGTCAACGATGATTGATGAGAAGAACGGTCTATTTGAAGGAAAATAAAATACATAATCATGCATGACGGTGATGAGCACGGTGATGAGCTACCGTCTTCATCCGAATAGGAACCACCCGCTCATTGTGACTGTGTTAGGGGTACTTTACGACTTGGATACAGCGGTTATAACCGGGCTTTCTATTCCGGTGAAGAGGGAAGTTGATATGTGATTGAAGAGTGGGAAGGGAAGGAGAACGGCAAGGGTCTAGAGGTTGAGGAAGTGCCCAGGAGAAAGGCGGAGGAAGTGGGTTAGCGTTTGTATAAGAGGGGTGGATGATTGGAGTAACAGGAGGAGGAGGGAAGTGAAAGGGTCTAGAGGTTCAGGAAGTGCCAGGAGAAGGGCGGAGGCAGAGGGGTAGCGAGTGGAGGAGTAGATGGGTGGACAGGGAATGAGATTTTGCCCTTTTCTCTTCAAATCCCCGTTGTAATATATTGAAGTGATGGAGAAAGTGGGGCAATAAGACGAAGAGGGATTTTGTGTTTGGTTTTGTTTTTGCATGGCAAGAGGAGGGGAGAGGAGGTGTCTCGGGAAAGAAAAAAAAAAAGAAGAGAGCAGGTGAAGCTGTCTAAGAGGAAATGTAACATGCACGTGCTACATTGAAAAGAGAAAGTCTGCTGTGGAAGATTTTGGGAGGGGGGTTGGGGGGTGGGAAGGGGTCGCCTTCATTGGCGAGACTGACAGAGCAGGTCTAGCGCAAGTCTCATTTCCTGGGAAATTGTGACATTGTTCCCCTTGGCCGTTTTCGTTTGCTTGCCCTCGTGTTAGAGTTGCAAGTTTGTGAATGCCCGAAACCGGAAAGGAGAGTTTTGTTTTTGCCGGGGTCATGCGTAGTGTAACCTCCTCCTCCTCCTCGTCCTTGTTGCAGACGTTGTGAAGTCAATTAAGCAAACGTTGTGATTTGAATGATCGCAGGTTGATGTATCGAAGGTGAACATGGATGTCATCAAGCCCTGGATAGCGAAGCGTGTGAAGGATTTCCTTGGATTTGAGGATGATGTATTAATAAACTTCATCTACACACTTTTGGAGAAAAAGGTCTGTGCTAGCCAATCACCTCATCTATGATTCTTGACGCTATGCTGTGGTTTCAGACCTCGTCGGGCCATAATTGATGACCATTCAAAGCATCTTTTTGGTGTTGCAAAGAGTTCATGTGCCCTATTTGTTAGGCCTCTGCAGTTTTCTTGCTTTGTCATACCCTCGCTTGTGGTGGTTGGTTGGTCCCTCTGTGGAGGAGGTATTGGGGGTGTATTGCATACGAAATGGTGGTCCCCACATTCTGACGCGACTACCATCCTCTTCTTGAGGTCGTCATTGTTGTATAATATCGTCATCCTTGGTTCTAGTCCTGTCCTCATTATCTCTGGATTGGTGCATACAGGGTGTTGTATGTGAGAGATCTTCCCGTTGTTGTGGATGAGTGTTGGAAGCCCTACGTTTAAGTCCAAGTTTGAGTTTCTCAGTTGAAGATTTACTTTGTTCGAGGAATGAGAGTGGAAGATATGCTGTCCTCTGTGTAACCGATGGACATCAAGGCAGACCGAAACACGTTGTGGTGCCCAAAGAACTAAGAACTAGTGTCTTTTCATCGGATAGAACACACAGTCAGTATGGCTGTATTTGGGGCAACTTCTTTGTAGATACAGTGATAATGACGTAGGGGAAAACGGTTGTGTGTGTGTCTGTCGAAATGAGAACGAGATGCTGGCTGTGAGTTGTGCTGTTGGATCTAAGTACGCTCGGACTAGAGCTAAGCAAAGAAAAGAAGAAGATATCACGTATTGTCCAAATTCTTCTTCCTAGGTACCCAAATTTTGCATGGGCGCAATAAAAAAATTGCGAAGTATGAAGTCCTAGATTGGTGTTGCATGCACCCATCAGGAAACTGTTAAGTACACTGCGAGAACAGGGTTTTTTGAAAGGAGACCAAGTCCTTTTTTGGCCTGAACGCCTCACCCAGTGTGTGTTTTCTGTTTCATTCCTGCAGCAAGGCGTAGATGGCAAAATTTTGCAGATTGATGGCAAGATGATACAGATTCAGCTCACTGGATTTCTGGAAAAGAATACTGGGAAGTTCATGAAAGAATTGTGGAGCCTACTGATTAGTGCGCAGAAGAATGTCAGTGGCATTCCGCAACAATTTTTGGACGAGAAAGCAGAAGAAACACGGCAGAAGAAGGTAGGTGACAAAAAGCCTGACGTGAATGATGATGAAGATGGCAGGTGTGCTGCAGTATGAATCTCATGGTCTGATAAATGGATATGGAAGGTCCCTGGATATAAGTGCTGTGTGATGTCCTTCTGTTTGCTATGGGAGGATCGGAGGGTCGGTGGTGGGCTAGTGTATGTCTGGGCGGGGGTTGGAGCACGTCATGTGCAATATTTTTCCTTCTTGACATGAAGAACGTGGGCAAATGTCCCGTGCTGCCAGTTTACAGTTGTTGGATTGGGGGTTGCTTTGTGGTAGTTATGTTTGTTGTGAGCAACTGTGGTGTACGCTGTTTGATGGTCCTCAGAAGAAGTATTACTCGCGCTCAGCGGTTACTGGAGACCGTTATGGTTTGAGGAGTTTAATCGCTCTCTTAGCTGTGGAGTCATCAGATATCCCTATCAAATGATATGCTGTTCTCGTCGGCCGCTTCTATGGCATCCATGCATTTCCTCATGTTTAGCTTTCTCTCATGTTGCGTGTAGTTCGGACCAGATGCTCTTTGGTGTTTAATTAAATGCTGTTCTCATCATTGTCTCGAACACACAAGGGGCTTTTTGGTAATCAATTAAACAACAGATGTAAAGCAGTTCTCCTTGAGGCCAGCACCTCTTTACTCTTGTCGGCCTTGGAGCCACAAAACCTGTCCTATGAGTGACTTTCCAATCCTTGCTTCACTCTCTAACTCTTCGTCTAATGGGATATTCTGTCAAGAAGTGAAGGACGATTAACCACGCTTATCATGAGGTCACAATGCATGTGGTCCTATGCCTGTCATGGAATTCAAGGTTCAATAGGAGGATCTGAATGCTAATCGCTATGATGAACAGTTGACGACTTCCCCCAGACACCCCCCTCACACCCCCCTCCTCAACCCCTCAATGCATGTGGTCCTATGCCTGTTCGTTAACATATAACCCCTCCTCTCAGGCATGGTGTCCTTGACCTGTCGGTTCCTGTTTCAGGATATTAACCCGCTTGGCCGGTAGGGCCATGGCCCGCTGGGGTATAAGGTGGTCTGGCATAGACCGGAATTTGTTTTTGTTAGAGTAACATAATTGTTGGAGAGTGCAGGCTGGCCCTCAATTTGGCCTTGATCTATCCCAATGACCAGCCTGACTTACATGACATCCCTGCAGATTGAAGTTCAATCCACAACGAATTCACACGCTCCCATGCACTATGCAATTGCAGAGTAGAATCGGAGGAGGCAAATCCACACAAAACCGGAGAGAAGATATGTACAGCGGAAGCTCGAAGTACACAGAGAATTGAATAACGAATTTCAATTCTGCAATCCCTGGTCCTCCTCCAATCAATCCAGATGACTTGTTCCAAGAATCGCAACCGCGTTTACAACAACCCCGAACAACCAAAAACAAGTGAAGTATGCAGAAGTCTTCTTCCTCCTCCTGGCCACCTCATACCCCCGGCTATGGCTGCCGTAGCAGCAGTAACCCTACAGCTGTCACAACGTGCCAATCTGAACCAGCAACCCCAATGACAGGAGCATCAGCTCAGCGCGCGCACGAAAGTGCAGCGCTGGAAGTCCTGATGAAGAAGGAGACAACTGATCCAGCACTTCGAAGAAGATGGAGTTCCTGGTGAGGAGAAACAGCAGATAAGGCTGCCAAGTGGAAAATGGCAGCGCCCAAACCCAACAACACAGTCCTGTGGAAGCTCTCATGCAGAGGTGCGAAATAGCAGCAGTGCGATGTTCAACTTCGTTTCCCAACCCGCAGCTATGGCTGGGCTTTGAGGAAGAAGATGACCTTGCCCAAAATAGCGCAGCAGCGCTCCAGCAACGGATGGGCAGAGTTTCCCCAGCCAACGAAAACGTTAAAAGACCCGAACCAGATTTCCTGCCCGCTACTTCTACTCTCTGCCTAGACCTACGATGGACTCCAGAGACAACAACCCAAGACTCATCTATATCTAAACAGGGAGAAAAAGGGACCTAGACCTATGACAAGGCAAAAGGAAAAGGCGGAATGGCCTAAGGCTACCAAACAGAGACTACTACTGCCAGACTCAGGGATCAAGTTCCATAGGGCACAACACTCACAAACAAAACACATGAGTTACAGGTCACCGGATCAAATCCCACAAGGCTCGAAACAAGAAAACAACCTGCAAAGCCAAACACTTAGTGTACAGCCCCTCTGGGAAAATGCGATTTATTGCATTGATGGTTACTCTTCTACCTGTCTCATTTAGCTCCACGACACTGAAAAGATCACTGAAGTCTTTTCCCTGTCGTCTCTCAGTTTGCCATAAAGCTTGGCAGCATTTTTTTTATGACAAGTCCGTTTGTGCATCACTGTCTGATTGGTAGTGCTTTGTGGGCCGCCAATGTCTCTACCTCCTTGCTACAGGCGGAGGAGGAGTGGATCAGAGCAGAAATCATGCGAAAGCGAGAGGAGGCAGATAAAGAAGCTGAAGCTGAGCACCAAAGAAAAATCGTAAGCAACGACGTTCTCACCTTGATTCAGATCGCATACCCTCATGTTGTCATATTTACCTGCTCTTTCTTGTGGTGATCGGGCTTTCTGACTGAGTGCTGTAACGACTGGCCTAAGAGGGACGGACAGTTAGTGTGGTTGTCCAGTGGATGAATGGGATGGGGATTTGATGGTTGCAGTGAGGATTGCCAAGAGGATAACCACATTGTCAAAAGATGATGGAACTATCTGGAACTCTCTGGCTGTGCAAAATTTGATAGAGGTCGTAGTGTGTGTATGCTGTATGCGCACAGAGCAAGTGGTTTCACACGAACGAGTTGAAACGAGAAAAAGGAATGGAATGCTTGTGATGAGTAGAGCCTAGCAACGACTTGTGTGCGGAAGTTCATGAGCAGGAGTGATAACAAATGAGCTAGAGTGGTTGAATTGTGTACGGTGCTGTGGTGGGTGGTTGGGAGGAGGAAATTCTGGTGATTGACTCTCTGATTAAGGTGTCAACTGGCCTCGATGAAGCACCGGACTGCAGATCGCAACAGCAAGAATCTGTCATGAAACAAAAATGGAGCTCCTCCCTAGCCTGAGGTTCAACAAATCAAGGTTGGGTAAAACGCCAGTTTGGGGAACTAGGTTCGGGGGCAGTTGTGATGAAGGAGTGAGAATGGTATCCCACATATCGGAGTCTACCTGAAAGCATTGTGAAGTGGGTCCACCATCTTGAGTGTGGTCTTGGGTTTCACATGGGGATTCTCTCTTATTCGTGTTGTAGTTCTCTACAACGTTTTCCTTCCAGAGTTTTTGAATTCTTACTTGGACTCACGCCCTCCCTTCCACGTTTCTTTATTTGGGTGGACATCCAGTCACTGTCACTTTCTTGTATTTTGGTCTTTGGGCTCAAAGGTGTCGCTATTTGCAGTGAATGTAATGCAAAGTCCACCCCTGCTTGGCTCTGCTTTGCCCCACATAGGGTCTACAGTATATGGCCTGAATTGCTGGGCACCTTGGATGTCGGATTTGCTGGATTGCATGGTAACACCTCAAGTGCCGGGTCGCAGTGCAGGGTCAGGGGTACAACCCTATACGGGTTCAGTCAGATAGGAATAGCAATGTTGTTGGACCTTTGGTACTCTGTTTCTACCTTCCCATGTCCCGCCGGGTTCCTTGTCTCATAAAGCCAACTTGTTGGCACTAGCGTGTCACGGGGCACGAGTTTCACGCAAACTTACTAATACACACCGCTGGCCCCGTCCTCCCCTGCCCCTTGCCCCCCGCAACAGAGGGGGTGTGGGGGGGGGTGGGAGCTGATGTACTGCTGCATATTTTGTGCCAGTACAGTCGTATAATGCCGTTAAGCCTGTGCATTCTACTTAAGGAAAGGGGAGATGAGGTCTTGCAGTTGTCAAATAAAACTTGTGAATAAGGGTTCCTATGGACCACCTTCTGGTCCTGGGTGGAAATGTTTCCTGGTCTTATTGGTGATGCCATGATGCACTTGCTGGATGGCTTTGGTGGATTGTGGTTTAAACTGTTAGCAAATCTGTTATCTTTGCCATTTTCAATGGTTTCAGTACAGGTTTGGACACTGACCTTGAACAGTGTTCGTGCGTGCACGCCACAGAACTATGCGCTTCACACAAGTTGGTCCTGCGGTCTCTTTCTCTCTTGAGTGCTGAAACTGACGACACCGTGTCATATCCCCTTGAGCAGTATACGTAGTGTTCAGAGTGAACAGTGCACTTCTAATGGAGTTCTTGCCTGGGTTTTGATCCCCAAGTGTAGGCCTTCCCACATAAACCTGCAGTCAGGACTGTTCCAGTGGTGGATGGATGGTAACATACTCGCTGTTGCAAAACCACAGCCTGGCTGAGACATTACTTTGGTTTTCCTTGGGGTGTCTCACACCTGGGGTGTGCCATGTTGTCTCGGTTTTCCAAGGGTTCCCATGTGAGGGTGCTCATATTTGGATTGGAAATTGTAGATACCGACCATGCTCAAATAATGGTTCATGTGTGATGGTGCTCTTCGTATTGGGATGGAAACTTGCAAACTATGCGAAGACCTATACGAGGATTGCAGAGGGAAAGGGTCCACAGCTTTGGAAGGCTTGTTTGGAATATATTTAATATTCAGGGGGGAAAGGGTTGAGAGCTTCGCAAGGAACTTTGAAAGGCTGGAAACTTGAAAACTATGCCAAAAGCCCACTTTTGGCGAGCGAAGTAAATTATATCGATGGAATATATATATCAATATTCACATTTCTTATTTGGAATATTTAGAAATTATTGTCTGGGTGTTCAGGGGATTTGGCAATCCTTTTCCTTTCCAAGGGCTACTATGTTGATGTTGGAAAGCGTTTGGATTGGATTCTCGTGCAGGCAGGCCGGCCTCTGTGTGATCAAAATTTGCTAATGGTTTTTGCCAAGCTTCCTAGTAAGTTAATCGTTTACGGAACTGGGCATGGTTGGGTGTCTTCATCGTTGTTTGTAAAAGTTTGGCCGTAACGGTACTCTGCTTTCACCACGGATCCGCATTTTGCTGTTCCTGTTATCTGTGATATCTGTTCTCATCACATTCAGGTTGAACCAGCATGGCGTGACACACACTGTCAGCAAGAGTTTTGGACTGTAGGAGTGGGAGAAAGTCGCGTGTTTCCTGTACTCGATACACCAACGTGCCCTGCCTCTGATTGGGAGATTCTGGAGAGCTAGGTGCTAAAATGAGCCGACTGTCCAGAGTCGTTACAGAGACACTTGTTATGGGGGGCTTGCCTCAGAGTTTTGGTGCGGGCACTTTTGGCTTACAGCATTCTTTGTTTGTTGCATTCCTGTTCTGCTCTGGATCCTTGATTGGGACTGGCATTGAATGGGCCACTCCTTGCTATGATGGATGGAATGAGCCTTGACCCAACATGGGCCGTACAGGCGGCTGTCCCCAAATGAGAGTGCCAGCAGCAGCAAGATCTATCCGTCATTCATTCTATCCCTGTTGAACCCCACCACTAAGCTATTGGAGGGTGATCGGCTCAGTCAAGTGTAGTAGACATTTTTTCTAAGGGTCTAGTTTTGGTGCGTGAGTAACTCTGCTTTTGTGCCGTCCTTGTTGCATCTCGAAAAATTGTCCCAAGGGCCAAGGACGGAGGTGGTCTGAAGGTACATGGCTAAACCATCGATTGAAAATCATCTTACGGGTGAAGAACACCCAGGTCCATCGCTTCTGCACGATACTGCAGCCGTGTTTCTTCTTAAGCGTGATACTTATTGGATGTATCATCAAATAAACAGTTTGGTTGCAATGCTTTGAAGGTGATTTTGTTGTTATCGAGTGTTGCTGTGTCATGGTTTGGTAGCTCATCCTGCTCGGTGCCTTGAGTGGAAATTCTCAGCGGCATCTGAGCAGAGCTTGCTTTGTTGTCAAAGGGTACCCTGTCCGTGGGAGCGTAGGCAGGATAAGCACCACTGTACTTCACTGGTTTAGGGTCTCACTTGGCTGTAATCATTAAAGACTAGCAGAGACCGGGTGTGTTGCATATCAGGCCTGTGCTACTAGGACATAGTTATAGCCCGGCGGGGTGTATTCGCCCTTGTGATGCAGATCTGGCAGCTCGGCTCGTTTACCCTAAGTTGGATGGAATAGAATGGAACCATGGGTGGATGGATTGTTGCGAAGTGAGGAAACACAGGCGTTATGTGAGTTGGATGCCTTTCTATTTGACGTTCCTTGCTCCTGGGTACCCCGGGTTATGCTCGCCCACTGTTGCGGGTGACATTGCAGTGGCGAACATCAGTTTTGTTCGAGGGTTCCATTCTCAATATGAAAAGCAAAACTCCTTCACATTGTTTTCGTATTAGACAGTATGCTGTGTTCTCAGATGCTTCATCTCTGCTTGCATGAAAGGGTGTACTATCTGGCTGGACAGAAAGGCACCCTGGGGTGTTTGGTCGTGCACCTTGTATTTTGAGTAGTCTTGGAGTTTGGATGGGGCCGTGAAATTGTATCATATGATGCCCACTAACGGCTTGGAATGATCATTTTTATGATGTGCTGTCTGCAGAGTGCAGCGGTTGAAAGTGCAAAATTGGCGGCAGCGGCAGCGGCCCTGAAGGCTGGTCTGGCGAAACCTGGACCCTTGCATGCTGGAGTTGTTGCCAATGTGGAGGAGCCTGCCTCTGTGAGGGAGGAGCCTGCTGCTGAAGAGGAGTCTGAGAAGAGTGGAAGAACTTCCTCGAGGTACTTGTGAAAAACTTTTGCAGGCTACCAAATTCCCATTTTTTTGGACTGCATTGAGTATGGCACACTCTTTGGAGCAGGGGTAGTCAAATGCATTTCAGTTGAGTTCCGCTTGGATGGTCTTGTGCAAAACTGCTATTGCATTTTCAATCTCAGAGACATTGAAGGCTATGTAATAAAATGAGCTTCAGGACTCAGCTGAATAGAATCAAGTAGTAGTTGACAAGATGTCTGTCAGCATTTGCCAGGTGTTGTTCTTGTGAAGGCTCAAACGAGCGTCTGGACTTGAGCGACCACAATCGAAAGTAGTAGTGTAACGATCAGGGCGAAAGCTGGCAGACTGTACTGTTCGTTCTCTGGACTAATCTGTTGAGCTCTTTGGGCACCCGTTAGTGTGGATCTCTGCCACTTGATGCTGTGCTCAACTCTGGAGAAATGATCTAGATGCCAACTGGGCCAGTCTTAGTGATTGGCTTGTTCTGGCTGTGTGGTGGATGCAATGTCAAATATGTGAATGATTGAAACAGTCAAAATGATTGTAAACAATCTACCGAGAAACATTAATGTGGATGACTGTTATCATGAATAGTGATGCTTGGAACCAAAGTCAGGAGGCACGGACAAATGCCCGTGTGCTTGTCCTGAGGTGTATGGGTTCAGCGTGTTTGGTGTCTTTGCACGCTGTTGTTCAATGAGCGTAAACAAACAAAGGATCCCAGGTTTGGAACCGGTTCGGGATTGTTGAGAAGACAAACATTTGGAACTAAAGTTAGTAGGCAGGCAGGGTTAAAATGTCTGTGTGCTCATCCTACGATTTGCATTCAGCCTTTGCAGGCAAAAGGTTGAGAGCGGGTCTGTTGTGTCTTTGTGCGGTGTTGTTCAATAGGCATAAACAAACAAAGGATGACAAGCTCACAATTGGTTAGAATTCGGGATTGCCTAAGAGTACAAACACGGGGTGGACAGAGAGTGACTCCAGGAGTGATTGATGTCAGGCCAGGCATCACAAAGGATTCTATGGAGAAAAAGCTGACACAGAATTCACATGGCTGTCGCTCGAAGTACTCGGGAAAACTTCCTCGATATTTTGCAGCTGACATGGGAGCCTCCCTACCTGCAGGTTCCACATTTCGAAAACTGCCTCCTAGGTGGCAATAACTGTGTTTTCTGCCCGTTTCCTGTGCAGCGGTGATACGAGCGATGAAAAGAAAGGTGGTCAGAATGGTGGGAAAAGGTATGCCGCACGGGAACTAGCTGTGTTATATGGCGAATGATTGCCCTACTCGTTCTTTCCGAACAACTGTTGTCATCCCCAGTGCTTCACTAACATTAAATTGCTAATGCCATTTTCCACCTGTGAACTTGATGTTGGATTGGATGAGATTGTGTCGTGTCCCGGTTATTATTCATCCCATACAGGGGGTAATTTCACGGCCTCAGTTTTGATGGCTGGTTTGTCTCTTTGCATGTCTGGATGGGTATGTCGGAAGTGTGTGAATATCAATCTTTAACCTTCTTGCGAGGACAGTTCTGATCGTTGCCTTGCATTGTCTCTTCGCCTGTGTGCATGGGGGTATAAGGGCAGTATGGTAATATGCCTACACGGTTTGCAAGGACTTCTCTTGTTGGTTGTATCACAATGACAAACATACATTCCACCCTTGTTAGTTTGCTGTGGACGCTTTGAAGTAGCTGGCAGCCACTGAGCATGAGGGGTTTCAGGGGCAGTGCACTTGTGGTGCTGCATCAACACAAGGTGCATGTCAGAAAACCTGTTCATGTAATTAGGATTGCCCTGCAATTCAACTGAGAGTCTATGCAATCCTCTCACCGAGGATCTCAGCAGGAAGCTTCAACAACCAGGAGAGTCATTGTGCAGGGAAAGAGATTGAATCGGCAAAAAACAAAAGCAGCACCCTACCACATGTGCATGGGTGCGCTGAAGTAAGAAAAACCTTGTTACTCTTCCTCCAAGAAAGTTTAACCGATGTGCAAGATACACTGCCGTGGAACGGGTGGCCAATCTCCTACCGTGACCACCCTACCACACCAAACACTCCCAACTGGTGGAGCTCCCAGGATGAACCACTGAATGAACACCGAAGGCTGTAATTATTTGCTACTTTTGCTGTGTGAAAACTTGGTACCAAAATAAATGTGCGTACGTCATGTTACTCATCCGTGAACAAACAGTATCTTATAATATTCTAACAGTCTGTTTGGAGAGGCCCTAAAATAGAGAGCCTGACCTTTTCTTTTCTGAAATTATTATGCACGCTATATATTATTGCATGCTGGTTTAATCCTCCATCCCACATCTCTGCCTGCATTATGCACGGACCAGGCCATTACATGGCCATTGTACATACCTCTGACCACTGGGAGGTGTGGGACAATGGCATCCTGATTCATGCCATGGCTGATGTTACACAATGATGCTGTTTTCTTGCCTCACCAGCTGTTCGCAATCTCTTTTATGTTGAAGATCATTCCTCTGGCCCTGTGCTGCAGCAGGACAATATACCAACACTCTGCGGCCTTCTCCTTTGCACAGCTACAGACACTGTTACACTCGGCTGTAGCCGCCATCGTCTCTGTCACAATCACTACAATGGCATGGTTTCTGCATCCATGTGTGTAGAGGATTGTCCCTACGTTCCTGACTGCAGACACCCTCCCCGTCTGGACACTATATGTCCATTTTGTCGCCATGGGCGCTATACTGAATGCGTGGTCTTTTGTGGTGAGCGTGCGTCCTTCATTTTGGCCTGCAATGAACATGCCATTTGTCGGGAGGGTGTGGTGGGCATGCTCAGTGCCAGCCGTCGTGGCAATCATTGTGCTGAGAATGCTCAGCTAGGTCTTCCATGTGCCCAATTACAATGTGCGTCCTCTCTGTTGTCGAGGACAGACTCATTCTTGAGGCTTTTCTTATCCTCTCCTTTGCCTTCATCTTCATTCCATGCTCCGTACGTTCCATACTTGTGGCGCATCGCGATGCGCTGCACTGCGCACGTGTGCCGCACCGCGCATCCCGCACGACGTGCGCGCACTGCATGCGGCGCACCTCCAAAAATGGGGGTCAAAAAAAAAAAAAAAGTTGTGAGGGGCGGKAGTAGACCCGGCCCCCTGCTCGCGTAAAATAAGAAACGGGCAGCCAAATTTTTTTTGGAGGCCACGCGTTGGCCTGAAAGCTTTTAGTAATCTGTAGTTCGGGTAACACTCTGTTTTTTTGGAGGCCACGCGTTGGCCTGAAAGCTTTTTGGGAACTGACAGCCGTTTTTCCTGGAATGTTTTTGTTTTTTTTTTTTGTTTTTTTTTGTTTTTTTTTTAAACGTAAAGGAAGAAAACCAGAATGTCTTTGCACGAGTGTTGCCCGGCACGTCCAACTTGTCAGAACCTCAACGGTAATTGCAGTCTGTATGGTAGGGTTCTTGCAGGCCAGATTCAGTCATGATGAGGGTCGCGATCTCTCAAAATGTTCTCTTCGTATTACTTCTGAAGTAGAAAACGATGGAACTGGCAGCCGTTTTTCCTGGATTTTTTATTTTTTTAAATAAAAAGAAATGAACGTAAAGGAAGAACATCAGAATGGGCCTCGCCGCACCACTCTCGAAATGTGAAAAAGACAGAAATGTGGCGGGGGCATCTGGTCGTGTTCGAGCAGGAAGTTCATTCCCATTTCGCAAATTTCGAGAGTGGTGTGGCGATGCCCAATTTCTTTGCACGAGTGAAGCCCGGCGCGTCCAACATGTCAGAACCTCAACGGTAATGTTTACCAACGGGCTCGCTTCACTACTCTCGACATGCACAACAAGACATATATGGCAATGTATCTTTCCATGTTCAAGCGGAGGATTCAGTCTCATTTGTTCAGAGATTCTCTAAAAAAAAAAGAAGAAAGGTTCCAGAGATACGTTACGTGGTTACCTGATTCATCGGCCCTTCGCTCTCCACCACCCAACGTATGAATGAATCTTCCGCCAGAACATCGAAAGATACACCGCCATATTTTTTGTCCTTTGTGCATGCCGCCCCCGCTTCTGGATTCATGTTGCCCGTTGATAAGGTTTGTGCATGCCGCCCCCGCTTCTGGATTCATGTTGCCCGTTGATAAGGGCGGTTTCTTTGGTCCGATAGTGTCAGCACACGGTTTCTTCTCTCTCTCTCTCTCTCTCACACACACACACACACACGCACACACACCGAAAAGAGGCATGGCGCACATTGCGCACCTTGCAGGGGTAGCGCGTCCCCATGCATTGCGCGCACGGCGCACCTCGTGCGTGTGCGCGCGCACATGCGCGCGCGGTGTCACCGCGCGCATTCCGCACGGCGCACTGCACCGCATCGCGCACCGCTCCAGTGCGCCGCAAGTATGGTTAAGACAAAGAGCAGATGAGCCCTTCATGTCTATGGATGTTCAGGGAGGTTGCAGGCAGCGATGAACAGCAAAATAGCAATTGTTCCCTTTAACCGCACACCCAAACAATCAGACTTACTGCACGGACCGTTCTGACAACACAGACTCACTGCACGGACTGTTCTGACAACACAGAGTTACTGCATGGATCGTTCTGACAAGGCAAACCGACCCTCTAGGACTGACAGGTTTAACTGGACAGACAACAGATCTGGCACGGCAGAATATAACAGGACAGACCAGCAGACCAAACAGAGACTGCAGACACAGCCTGTGCACACGCTCAAGAATCACAGTCAACTGCAGGCAAGGTAAGAGGGAAAGTCAAACAGTTGACAACCCACTGATGACGGCCAGACTGACAAACATCTGGTGACCTCTGGACAGGCCTCAGAGTGAGGGACCTGACAGACCAGTTCTGACAGACTGAAGCTAACGCCAGAGGGACAGGTTGCCGAAACAAACTCGCTCAATCATGTCTTGATTGGAGATTGCCGCCGGTCAACTTTGACCGCACGTTGGCACTGTCGGCCAGCGCCCAAACTGAATGCTTGCTGCAAGTTCCAATCGATACCACAATCGAATCGCCAGCACTTCTGCAAAATTTGACCCTCAAGCGGTCATCCAAAACCAGTGGCTGGCCAGGCAGGCTGAGCCTGCCACTTGAGGATTGTTGTGCCCTCAGGTCACTGGACGGCTAATTAGGGTTGACGTCCCAGTTAGTGTCGGGGGCAACTAAAGCCAAAAGATCCTCTTTTTTGTTTCTCTTCTTTTTTTTTCAAACTCGCTTTCTCGCCAGTGCCTGCCAATCAATCGACAGATGTCACTGCCAACGTTGTTGAAGACTATGGGGCACTGCCCCAAACTGCCAACCGCCAGCCCGACAGATGTCGGCCACTAATTAATCCCGTGGCTCCGATACGAACTGTTATGTGCCTGATTGAAACGAGATACAGCATGGCATCCACACGTTCCCATACACATGTGCAATGACAAGGCATCTTGGAGAGACCAAATCATGCAACACCAGATGAGAGAATACACAGCCGAAGCACTTGGAACCAAAATAGAATTGAAACTAATCCGTTCTTATTATAATCCCCCGCTCCCTCAAGCGAATCAACACACTGTTTTCCCAAGAATCCCAACAACGTTATTAACAACACCCAGGAACCAACTATTACACTGTTTCATCATCAGCGGGTTCTTCTTCTTCTTCCTTCCTCGCCACCAAGCTCAAGCTATGGTGCACACAGTCACCCAAACCATCTAGCCTGCCCACACTAAACCACCCTCCTGCATCCGACACAACACCTGGCAGCAACATCCAATCCCAGGTCCAGATGAAGGGCCCACTCAGCACGGGAGCGCAGCTCGGAGGATGAAGAACAAGAGCACCACCACGATGAAGATGGAGACCTGCCACATTGAAGAAGACACGTGAACCATGCTGCTTTGATGGCAGCTGCAAAACCCCCAACAGAACAGAAGAGGGACGGCGCCACTCATCGCTCAGGGCCTGATACTCTGCGCTGTCCGATGATGTGGTAGCTGGCTGCCCCAGCTATGGCTGTCAGCGTCTCAGCAAGATGAGGATGCCTGCGCTAGGGACACAACGTAGCAACCTCCAGCAGTCCTTCCAGCAGCACTTCCTGAAAAAAAAAGACGAGGCAGAACCCGGTTTCCTTTGCCTTCGACACTCTTGTAGACTCCTGCTTGCACTCACTCGAAAGCCTACAGGCTAGGACCGAATCTAGACCTAAAATGGGCAAAAGGGAAGAAAAGAAACGACCTACAACTCAAGGGCGGAA